ATTTTATTTTGTAATTAATAATTAAGACCTAAGAATTAAGGCTCCAGCCCGCAAAACGCTGCCGTTTTTCTAGTTTATTTAAATCCGCGAGTGATTCTTCATATTTACCAATCATTCGATAAGTTGCTCCACGGTTACGTAACGCGAATGCATTATTTGGTTCAAGTTCCAATAATTTATTTAAATCTACAAGTGATTTTTTATATTTACCTATCATTCGATAATTTGCTCCACGGTTACGTAATGCCCATGCATCATTTGGCTTTGATTTATTTAAATCTGCAAGTGATTTTTCATATTTATTCATCTTACGATAAGTTGCACCACGACGGCTTAACGCAACTGCATCACTTGGTTCAATTTCTAATGATTTATTTAAATCTGCAAGAGATTTTTCATATTTTTCTATTAAGCGATAAGTCGAACTACGACGTCTTAATGCAAATGCATCACTTGGTTCAATTTGTAATGATTTGTTTAAATCCACAAGTGACTCTTTAAATTTACCCATCATACGATAAGTATTTCCACGATTTTTTAACGCAAATGTATCATTTGGTTCAATTTCTAACGATTTATTTAAATCCTCAAGTGATTCTATATATTTCTTCAAATAATAATATACTACACCGCGGTTTTTTAATGCAAATGGATTATTTGGTTCAAGTTCCAATGCTTTATTTAAATCTACAAGTGAATCTTCATATCTGCTCATTATGCAATAAATTTCTCCACGGCTTATTAAAGCTGTTGTATTATTTGGATCGATTTCCAATAATTTATTTAGATCTAAAAGGCTTTTTTCATAATCACCCATTTCATCATAGTTTAATAGTGATGATGATTTGCTTTGCATTAAAATTCCCTCGGTTGAATCAGAAATAAACAAACTACTTTGATCATTTGATTGAGTAGATCCGTGAGTTTCTAATGTATTCGAGTCTTGAGCAATACTATTTATAGACTGTTTATAATTGGTAATTAAATTTTTTAGGTTTAAAAAGACTTGCTGGATATCTGGTCGACTATCAGGATCATGTTGCCAGCAATCTATTTATTAATTAAAATTATTAGTAAAATTTCGTTAAGGATAAAAATACAACAGATAAAATATACCTGAATAGATCTTGATATATGTGGACGGTGTTCCTTTGATATGAGTTTCTCGAACACCATTTTTAATATCCACAATTAATGAAGCAAGTTGATGTGGCTTAACATCATCCTTAAATGGTGGGTAACCGCTAGATAATTCCCACAAAAGAACACCAACACTATATACATCAGATTTTTTACTAAATTTAAATGTTCTAGTCTCGTTTCTTGATCCTTCAAAGCTCTGAGGGTCTATATATGGAATAATGCCACCAAATTTTTGACTTGAATTTGTCACTTCATCCAATCTTTTCGAAAGTCCAAAATCCGTAAGCTTAATACTCTTTTGATGAATAAGTATATTGTTTGAATGCTATTAAAAATTATAATATTTAAGTTTGATGAAAATGACAAAGGTCATGAGCTATTAAAATTCAAAAATTACCAAATCACGATGTATTATATCTTCAGCATGCAATAATTTAACAGCACTAGCAATCTGTAGCGCAAAATTAATCTTATCATTCCAGGAAAGATCTTTAAAATGATTCCGCAAATACGACCTTAAAGTACCACTATCAGCATATTCAAGTACAAACATATAATTTGTGGACCTTAAATTCGGTTGATCTATCGTAAGTAGTTCAAATAGGTGAACTCAAAGGAATAGTATTTAATTTATAAATCAAAATTAGTTGCATTACCTTCGTTTTTAGTAGCGCCGTGTAGGCGTATAATATTAGAATGCATGTCCACTTTACAGTGTAATCTAAGCTATAAACATTTATAATTTATAATAATGAATAATAATATATATTATATGACTATATAATGAATATTATGTGAACCAACTACCTCATTAACAATTTCTCTAAAGGTCATATTATTACTTTTAAATGACTTTAATGCGACAGTAATTCCATTATTCTTGAGAGTAGCACGATACACTTTTCCATGTCCACCTTCTCCAATTAACTCAACATCCTTGAAGCGAGTGTATTCGTAAAATTTAATACGCCAATCAATAAGGCATTTTTGAATTAAATCATCAGACAAATTCATAGCTAACAGTTTAAAGACTTTTCTACGTGAGAATCAGTAACGTTAAAATATTCGTAGTATTCATTGCAGTAACGTTGCACAATGCCAATGCTGTAAATCATTTCCGGGATGACTATGATCAGATGTAAAACCATCTTATTTATTTCGATTTTGCTTGTGATCGCCTTTCCTTCTTTATTAAAACGAAAATAAGTTTTATCAAAAATTTTATAAATGTTATTGGGCTGAAGCGGAGTGAGGGCCTCTCCATGGTGTACTACTAAATTCGGGCGATGTCCGGCTCCCATCCCTGTAATGGTGATAAACCTTGACTTTATCTGCCCTTGTTGAAATTTTAATTAATCAGATGCTTAATCAGTAATGATAAAGTAAACTGTGACTAATAAATGACTAATAAAAAAAAGTGA